ACTCACACCAATTTTTTTATCGATTTTAAACGATTTCCCATAAAAATCGATACAAATCAGCTGATTTCTATCGATTTTTATCGATTGACTACTCCGGGCTATTCCTAGGAATGAAAAATCGTTCGAATTAAGCAAAATTCTATACTTTTCATACCGATTGATGATAATTACAATCCCAAAATGGACAGTTCTATCGAAATTGTACTAAGCTTATATATTAATGATTATCTATCAAAAATTAACAACAGAATACCTCATCCAAACTAAGATCTTTAATTATAATCCTTGGTCTGAGTTAAGGTTCTACTATGGCATCAAATTTTGAGTATTTTTACAAATTTTGAACGACGTTGAAACGTACACCACGTGCAACTAGAAAATACGGGAATTTTCACTTCATATCCAACTAATACCTGAATTTCATGCCATAGAATCAAACAAAAAATAAAAAACCAATTCCTTACTTCTCCTGTGTGCGATCTTTTGTGCTCTATAAGCCTCCAGTTTTTGTTAAAAGTCTTGCCACATACATCACATTCGATCCTCTTCTTGTCCTCCATATTGTTATGATGAATCATSGACAAGGACTGGGTAGTAGTTACAACAACTTACAACAAGAGAGGGGAGGGAGCGTAAACCGATGTGTACGTTGGGCTTGAAGTTTTGTGCCTGTGGAGGAATGTTACAACACGATATAAATGCATTTTTTTGTTTGGAGCCGGAAGCTGCAGGGAGCCACGATGGTGTTGGTCAAAACACCTTGAGCCTTCCATTTTGTCATCACTTGTCAAATTATCTGTTGTTCTGGACGATCGCAATGCGGGATCTTTTTACAAGGACAAAGGAGCATTTGGACTCAACGTTATTGCAAGCGACGGGACATTTCCGGTCTTGATAAAGTCAAGATTTCGATTTGTCTCAAAATTTTGGCTTTTCCAATCAAAAATTGCAAGAAGTTTCACTAACATATGAAAGACAAAAGTTTTAAAGTTAACGAAAAAAAAAAAAATTTTTTTTCGAGCAAATTGTCATTTTTCGTATCCTAATACCTTGGCTATGAACGAGTTGAAATGGATCCATTTGCGATCCGTAGTAGTTATAATCATAACTACCAGGAAAATACAACATTTGCCTATAGGTCTGTGGCGGTTGCTAGACCAATATTGGGCCTCCACGGCTCTGGATTCGAACTGAAAGCATGTGATACAGTCCATCTATGACCCTGGAGCACAGCTCTATTAAACCAGATTGAATTAGTTAGGGTTGATTTGAGAGGAGTAAGGAAAAACCGGAGGACCGGAGAAAATACGGTGGCCCACAAGGGTCACGGCAAAAGAACACAACTTCACAGCACTAACGAGTGAGTCACGACAGAATACTACTCTTCCCAGTAGACCGAGGCAGTTGTGATTTTTTTAATCGCCTTCGTAGCGTCTGTTATGTTAATCACGTGGTGTAAAAAACTTGTACTCGTGTTACAACATTGGCATCACGTGGTCGATTTGAAATGTCAGTTCTGGATAACATACTAGACGCTACGAAGGCAATTAAAAAATCACAACTAYCTCGGTCTACTGGGAAAAGTAGTACAATAAACGCACGGCAAAATAAGGCCGAACTCACGGCAAAACAAACTAAGTCCACGGCAAAATAAAGAGAAAAAGCCACGGCTCAAGTGACTTTCCCACGGCGGAAGTGAAAACACCAGGACTCAAGGTGAGAAAATTATGGGCAGCCTTTAATATTGCCTTCCTGTGTAAATCTGCTCGTGCTATGATTGGCGTGGACTCCTTCTCGTTTTGAATTTAGATCCCCTTTAGCAGCTATGCTTTGTTCTAATTGTGGTAAAGCAACACAGCCATGAATAGGGAAGCCATAGAGCTTTAATTTATCGTATCCATCAGCGTGCCAGGCACCATTGGGTCCTGGACAACACTACTCTCGTCTTCTAAGTTTGTGTCTTTTTCTTTGCTCAACTCCTTCGGGGTCTATTTCTTTCATTAGCTCTTGTACAATTATACGTGGAACTATTATATCAATTATAAATTGACCGATAAACAACTAATAAATCTGGACCATCCATGATTGCCAATTCTTACGTAATATTGCACTTTTTTTTTTTCTTGAAAGATGCCACTCCGCTTCAGACGTCTTTTTAGCGTTATTAAACTCATGTTTATATCGTAATGCTTATAGAGCATTTTAATGATTTCTTCGTATTTATAACCACGATAAAACAAGTATCGTATAATTTCATTTTCAGAATCCGCCATTTTGTAGAGTGAACGCGCGCCCGCAATACTTTTGGAAAGCTCATGGTTTTCTGTTAAAGTGGTACTAGTAAGTGTGGGCTTCCTGTAAAGCCTGTTTGCTTTGTTGTGAGTTTGCTTTGTTCTGCGGTGAGTTTGCTTTGTTCTGCCGTGGGTTTGCTTGTTTTTTGCCGTGAGATTTGATTTTACCGTGACCCTCGGAGTCAGAAAGAGAACCAACCAACTCAGCTCACATGGGGCGATTGGGATTCGAACCCCGGACCACAGAGGTGAGAGGCGAGCGTTTTACCACCACGCCATCCTGAGAAATCTGACAGTTTTGACGTTTAACAAAATTTTGTCCTGCTTCGATGCAGGCCGACGGCGTCTTTGAAGTTTGGTAAAGAAAGACAAATGTTGACCAGTAATAAGATTTTAAAATGCGTTCGCACTAGGAAACGGCTGAATAACGGGCCCTAAGCCTGTGGAGGAATGTTATACGATATCTTTTGTCAATATTCCTGTGCACATATTTGCCAATCGCATTCTGGAGTCCTGCCTTGGCTTGTAAAATATGCCGCGGTCAAAAAGTCAAATTTGGACGTTTCATGAAAGGTATTCTAGTTGGTTCTCAAAATATCAAATTCCGTAAACTGAGCGCATTCTTACTGTAACTTTTGAGCTGTAATCTTCGACTTGTGCTCAAAAAGGCTGGCCATCCAACGCACAACTGCAAATTTAAGGTTCGCGGTAAGTTTGTTTTGTTTTGAGTTTTGCTTTGTCAAATTCGGACGTGTAAGTGAAAGTATTGGTTCCCAAAATATCAAATTACGGAAACCAAGCGCATTACTGTAACTTTTAACCGGTACTGATCTTCAAGCTTAGTTTTATAAAAACTTGTACTCAAGAAGGCTGGCCATCCAACGGTTGAGTTTGTTTTTAAGTTTGCTTTTATTTCTGAACCGYATCTTTTTTAACCTCCTTTGAAGCCGTTCTTAGGGTCGTCACGCAACGTTTCCCCTAAGAACGGCTGCAAAGGAGGCTACATCTTTTTCAAATTCCATATTAAGCTAATAAATACGTAACTAATAAAACAAATAGCCGTCATTTCAATGCGGAAGGGAAAGAAATTTCCGCCAGATCTAAGAAAATGAATGCCGATCACCTTAATTTATGGTTACGTAACCGGTTGTATAAATGGGAAGACTTCAGTAGAGAGTGTGCCCTTCGCTTTTGCGAAGAAATAGAGTAGACTAATCTGGTATACGTATGCTGCGGTCCATTTACGCTGATGACGCTGCTCAACGTACAAGAGCAGCTTCAAAAAGTTCTTGATATCACTAGTAAATGGACCACGGAAAACTGCATGGCTGTTCATCCGGCTGTTTATTCTGACATTAACCTTTCCCTGGTCCATAGTTAACCAGGCGTAGACAGTGTCGCCAACCTTTCTTGGTCTGTTCATATCGAAAACATGCGGAAAAAATACTAAAAAGGCTTGTGCTATGCTGTTTATTTTCTTATATTAAGAAATATCAGTATACAGGATTCGATCAAGCCTTTAACCGGTCTGTAATGGAATGATTACCTAATGTAATTGGGTCGAACTCAGCCATCAAATTACAGAAAGGATTTGCCCGACTTCTTCTTGATGAACTACCGAATCAAGATCTCGAAAAATGCTTTTGTGCAAACTTGATAAATTGGATGTTAGCCGATTGTGGTGCTGTTAATTCATCAGGCAAAGCTGCATAAATCCTCATTATTTCATTGAAAAACTGGATACTTTATTCTTTCTTATATTACAACACTAGRAACTCTTTCTTATATAGACTGCCAAATAGCTTTTTTTTATGATATCCTAAATAACTTAAATTGATCCAACCTTTACAAATATTACAACAATGGCTAGGAAAGGCCGATATCTGATGTCGTCCATTATGGAATCATACAATAATGAAAACTTCAATGTTTCAAGAATTTATCAAAAAGTTTATTTTTTGTTTATTATTTATATATATTTTATCTTTTATTAATATTTCTTTCCTGACGTACAGCATATATAAATACATTTAGGTATGGTTATAAGCCGGTTGCTTTTCAGTAGCATTGTAGGAAATATAAACTTGGTTCAAATGCGGCCTTTTACAGCTACTGTGTTATTTACTTAGATAAAGGGTCAAAGGGAGGGATCATTGGATAATTGAGGACGGGATTGCGTAAATCCAAAAAAATTTGATTAAGCACTTCACCTAAGAAAAAATATCGCGCAGCCTCTCCTTTTAGTAATGAGCAAGACGCTCTTGGAGCGTGCACTGGGTTGCCCAATATGCTGGTATGCTGGAGCTTATTTAACACGGCCTAATCTTACTTTGGAACATTTAAGGTGTATTTTTCTTTCATAACTTCCGAATACTTATCTTTTCTCACCTCAAATTTGTTCAAAAGTGTACCCTTTACCCTTTAAGTAGTTTAGTTTAAGTGTATTTTACCATCAACACATTTGTTTGCCTCCTCAGTTCAACTCTTCTCCTTTACATGGCTAAAATAGTGAACTTACAATCCAATTGGAATGTAACCCCTAGTACTTTCAGCTAATCATAATTTTATGACAGAACTTATGATGTGGGAATAGGGTAGTTCAGGGGAAAAGAGGGATTTAATAAACATCTCGGATTAGAAGGATTTCAACTCAAAAAGTCTAATCTAAAAACTCATAACTAGTTAGAATCATGTGCGTATTTCGTTCGCGATATTAAAGATTACCTTTCAATATTAAGATATTTCTCACAGTGATATATATATTGTAACAATGTTCCATACAACTATTAACGGGGATAAAAAAATAGTTATGTACATTGTTTGCTTGGTTCGGATGACCACGTTAATTAATGGCSGTCCCGCCCCTCGCGATTCTTCTAGTATAAGTTTGATCCGGGCTCTCCGGGGTTTGATCGGGAGAGAGCCGCCAATATGCCGTTATATTCCTCCTAACTAGCCGTCAATATAAGCCAGTATTGGCGGCTCAAAATCGCAATAACTTATAAATGTTATCCGGGATGACTACTACTATTATTATGATTTATTGATGGTTAACTTTTATTCACGCTGACCTTGATGCATGGTAGCATTGGAAAAAAAACCTGCAAGGGTTGATTTCAATGGCAAAAGTTAAGGGAGCTTTAGGTTATTCTTGGCCCACATAGCGGATTTAATTTCAAGATGACTCAGGTTTGAGTTAAGTTTCACCAGAACAAAGCGTTAGACTAACTGATTATGGCGGACGAGCATCCGTCCATACTTTCCCGAATCAAAACAGCAAACGCCACAGCGAGAATAACTTTAACACCTCTAGTATCCAGGGTAAGGCTTTCATTCGATTGAAACCTGTCACTCATGACACTGACTAACACTATTTGAGCGAGACACAACAGAAAAAATATACTAAGGGTATGTTAAGAGTGTAAGGACATAGATATACATGAATTTAAAATTATATTTTTTTCTATAGTTGTTAAAGAAACGCCGACTTCCTGCAGGACCGACCAAGCACTGATCACTAGAAATCGTACTGTCGCTGTTGTCTGAAATATCGAAGCAATGTTTGTAGAAGTTGGGGTCTTAGTATTCGCTGCAATCGTTCTGTGGGAAATCTACCTCATCCTGACTGAACCAAGAAATCTTCCGCCGGGGTTTCGCGTTCCAAGTTTGATAAGCTTGGTAACGTTTCCCACCAATGTGTCACCGCACAAGAGGTTATTAAATGCTGGGCTATCCTCAGGAAAGTATGGAGACGTTTCATGCTTGAGGATTGGGCGACAATTGATGGTGGTAGTCAGTAGTTTTGAAACAGCCAGAGAGGCTTTGGTTCAGAAAGGATTTCAGTTTGCTGGCCGACCTTCATTAGAAGTTGCAAAACAGATAACAAGAGACGGCAAAGATGTGGTTCTTGGGGACTTTGGACCCGGCTGGAGGATGCACCGTAAGATCGTCTTGTCAGCTTTGAAGACCTATGGGGTTGGGCTGTCAATCCTCGAGAATAAGATTTCTGTTGAAGCCGAAGCTATAGTCGAGACATTTCAAACCAATCTTGGAAATCCATTCAACCCTAGACCTAACATCGTTAACGCGGTCCTAAACATCATATGTGCAATATTGTTTGGAGAGCGCTACAGTCTTAACGATCCCGAGTTCTACGAGATAGAACGTTTCCACTCTTCACTCACCAGAATCTTTGCTAAAGGTCAGATTTTGGACATTTTCCCGTTGCTTAAATATCTTCCCGTGCAAATAATGCGCGACATTAAAGAAGCGGTGGAATTCCGGGACAGATTTTTTGAGCGCAAGTTGGCTGAACACAGAGATAAATTTCAGGACGCTGAAACGGTGCCAGATCTAACGTACGAGCTTCTAAAAGCAGCGCAAGAGGCAAACACTGACCAGGAATGCACGACTAAAGAGTACCTGACCGATGATCACCTAGTTGGAACTATGATGGATGTGTTTTTAGCTGGAGCGGAAACCACTGCGACTACAATTCTTTGGGTTCTAGCATACATGGTATCTTACCCAGAGGTCCAAGCATGCGTCCAGAAAGAATTTGATGACGTCATAGGAAGGGAACGCCTGCCCAGTTTGAGTGACCGCGGGAGTCTTCCATACTTTGAGGCGACCATCAAGGAGACCATCCGCCATGCTACGCCCTTTGTAGTAGGAGCACCGCATAAGACTACTACTGATACGACGCTTAAAGGTTACAATATACCCAAGGATACAATGGTTATATTCAATCTGTGGCAGATTCATCATGACCCTCGTCACTGGAAAAACCCTAACGATTTTGAGCCAACTAGATTTCTGGATGAGCAAGGAAAGCTACTCAATGTATCAACGCTGAGTTACATGCCGTTCAGTTTGGGTCCACGCGCGTGTCTGGGCGAGTCCTTGGCTAAGACCGAGTTATTTTTGTTCCTGTCTAGATTGCTGTATGAATTCAAGTTTGAGAATCCACCGGATGTCCCGCCTCCAGACATGGAGGGCACCTTTGGGGTAGTACAATCGCCCAAGCCCTACAAGGTTGTGGTTAAGAAGCGATTCTAAACAACGCATGCATTATGCTGCATCAGACCACAATCTTGCATATTTCCCCTGCGTTTTTAGTGTTTTAGATAAAAAAGACAAAAAAGATACATTAATTGATTTTTAAAATGATATTTTTATCGTCAAAATTTATTTTTAAAAATTACATAAAATGGAAAAAGTTTTTTTTACTATTTAGATTGGATAGGGAAGAATTCCTGTGAGCTTTGGTAATAGCGCAGCGCACTGATTCTTAAAATAGCTTAAAGATTCGCATAAACATTGCATTCCGTTTAACCGCTACGAGGATTATACGAACCGATTTTATTATTTTTACTTAAAGTTACAACAATAACCCATGTAAACTAAGATCAACTGCGATGGGCTGTGAAAATTATCTATTGAAAGTAAACTTGTAAGTTTGTTTGTCCGAATTTTGCCTTTGCCTTCGTTTTTATGATGTCACGGATGCGCTGCGTTATTGGTCAAACAAGAGATAACAGTTTTCATCCAAATATAAAATTCTCCTCAAGTTTACCTACACCAAAGCTACATGGCATTTTCTCTACATATTTTTAATGAACAAAACTGGTAGATTTTTTTTTTTTTTGTTAAATTACTTTTTTTTTGTAATGAATCTGAATCAATGAACTTGATGGTATGAAAGTGGACTAAAATGATTTATATTTTACAAAAATTATTTAAATTAATAGTAATATTTTCATGAAGATTTCAATAAGTACAATTAATACATTCAATATAAGTAAGTTGTGATTGATTCAAGGTGAATCAAAAAATCAATCTTAGAAAGCAAATGAAGTACACATCAAACAAGAACTTCTTAGGGAAATGCTCAGGTTTCTTGCTAAACTGTTTTTTAATTCAAAAAGTCCAACTGAAACTTGGAAAAATAATATAAAACTCTCCTTAGGAGAAAAATAATAGGTTTTTTGTATGCATGATAAAATTTATATGTACCAATTGTCATTTTGAAATCAAATGAAATTCAATCTAACTCAGTAAGCACTGAATTGTCAGCATGAAAGTCAAATCAATCTTATGCACATGACTTTCATACTCCAAGATTAAGCATGTTCATGCCTTGATTCTGACCCACTCTTCTGGTATTTTGTCTAATATATCCCTCACTAAAGAAAACTTCTTTTTCTGGCTAATGAAATATGATTGACAAAGATTTCTGGAGTGAACAGGGTCAAAAGATGATCACTTAATTCCCTTTTGTTATGGTTGTCAATCTAAGTTTTTATACCTAAATAGTTTTTATCTACAAAAATGAATTTAAAAGACAATAAAGAATAGAATTAACTACATGTGTTGCGATGTGTTGCATAAAAATAGCTTGTACCACATTTACCATTTTTGATTTGCCCAAAACATCTATGTACAAGGATACAAGTCTGAAGTTGGAAGAATGCAGAATGTATTTTTTTTCTCTCACTGACTTTCACCCAAACAGGATTATGCATGCCTCTAACATTGGCAGAATATTAGGCAGTTGTGTGATTTGACATGCCTCTCCAACCATCTGTGCGCAATTTTGTCATTTCTGACTCGAGGGAAATAATTATGAAACCCTTGGAGGAAAAAATTGCAAACAAAAAGTATTAGCTAGGATTTGAACAAAAAATTCTATAAATTTTTACATCATCAAATACATACAGAACAAACTGGTTCATAAGACAAAGTAAATATCAACTTCTTACCCAAGTTATGTAGCTTTTTGTGGCTTTCAAGTTTGCCTGGAGTGTTGAATGCGCTATGGCACCCACGTTCTTTGCACCTGTAGRAAACCAAAGTATATAGTATGCATATGAATATGCAAGTCGATTTTTACATTATGGGAATACTTTCAACTCTGCTCCAAGGACTGCATAGCACGCTAAAAAGTAGGCAGGGGGAGGCTAAGATTAGAAAATAAAAAAAGAACCTAGTATGCAAAGGGGAAAAGTAGGGGGGCTATAGCCAGGGCTCGAAATAGAAAAAAATTTGGCCTATCATGAAGGTTTTTTATTTTCGACTGCTGAAAAAATATTTGACATGCCATTTACTTTTATGGCATGCCACATGAAATAGACAAGACTTCCGACAAAATAAAATTACATGATTTTCAGACTCCTGAATCAATATTCTGAGCAGACATTTGCAAGCTTTTGGCTTGCTACATGTCCTGAGAGAGCACTTTGGGTGATGTGCTTGTTGTATCTAGCTCTTAGCAGGTAAAAATCATCAATTTGATATCTCTGAGGGGTTAAAAATTGTAAAGCCATGCCATTTTTGAAAGTCCACTATCTTTTAGGCATATTTCGAAATTTTGTGACAAGCATAACAGGTACTTCAATCCCAGAGTCCCCACCTGAGGCTACGTGCACATGCATTCTATCACTAACCTGAATGGCCTTTCATTGGTGTGAGTGTAACCATGTATTTTGAGCAGGTTGCATCTTTTGAACACTTTCTTGCAGCCCTTATAAGGGCACTAAAAGCAAACCAAACACAAGTGGTAATATTGAAATGAAATCCATAATAACCAGTTTTAAATATCTTCTCTCAAAACGAAGAATCTATAATGACAATCAACATAATAGATGCTCACCTTAAAAGGCCTGTTGTGTGCTCTGTCTATATGTCGTTTTAAGTAATGTTTGGTTGTGAACATAAGTTTACAATGCATACAGCTAAAACAGAAATATCACAAAAACAATAATTAAACATTTTTGACTACAAAAGGCTTATTGATACTCTAAATAAATTACCTCTGGTATGACCTAATGACTAAATCATACTTCAAAATGGAATTTAGAATTTAAAAGAATACTGTAAGCAGTAATAATATTATGGTGGATGTCAATATTAATATGTTTCTATGAAAACAGGCTCATTAAATTTGTGGAATAAAACAAGTATATTACCTGAACGATTTGGTGCCATTATGGCTAAGCATGTGCCTTTTTAGATGCATCTCCCTAACAAAGGTCTTGTCACATTTTGGGCACAAGCAGGGCCTCTGTTAATAAGAAAAAGTAGCTACATAAGATGAGGTCTGCCACAAGTTATGATTTTTATCCCTATAAGGTACCAATTATATATCTACAGTGCAAGTGTATGATCTAAATGATCAAAGTCTGATAATGAACTGAAAATAAATACCCTGAATTACAACTGTCATTCTGGCTGTCATTAATATAATCTCAGGTATCTTATTAACTGAAAACCACCTTAAGAGGTACAGGCTTAGTCTCTGGTGGTACTTTTTCAAATTTGTGACAACCTAAGATGTACCAAAAAAAATTGAAGATCAGCAACCCTAAAAGCTGTGATAAGTATTCTGCCCTTTTCAAATTGGAGTACCCCATTATTAGAATTGATAATTCGAATTGATATCGATTGATATTGGTCTATCGATGATCAATCGAAGGTCACAAAAAAATTGGTCATTGATTGCCAATCAATGACACTACCTCACAGAGTCTCACTCCATCTGAGAACCTGTCATTTGAATAACTACTGAACTCATGGATATAGGCTGTCAAACGAAGCAGGCTTGTTAACATGTCTGATCACGTGGTTAAGTTAACTATCTACCACGTAGCTGTTAAAGGTTACTGTGAATGTATTCTTTTGATGTTAACGTGGGCGAGAAGTACATTACRAGAAAGAAAACGGGAGACCGAGGTAATGCACTCAAAGTTTTGGACCTGAAAGGCCGGGGACAGCTTGGGCACTTACAGCGAGAGTTAGTTGTTCTGCTTTGGCCTCTTCAAAGCAGCAATATTGAAGTGTAATTTTCAACAGTCTTTGACTTTTGTGCTTAGAGTGCTGCACGATCTATCAAGTAAGCTAGCTGACAATTAATCCAGGGAACATGTGATACCTATTAAGTGGCTTTGGTTTTTATTCTTAGCTTTGTAACAGGCAACCCGATTAATGATCCAAGGGGAAGGTGGTGTCCTGGCGGAGGAATTAATGTACCCGCAAGAATAGAAGCTGTTCTGCCAATCAATCGATTTAAATATCAATATGGATAGCATTCGATGAAGGTCACAAAGATTTCAGACATTGATTGATCATCGATTATCAATATCAATCGATAAATTGATATCGATTGATATCGATATTTACATACAAGCGTATCAAACTGAGATCGGTTCGAAAGGTAATAAATTATTGGTTTAGATCTGGCTATAAACTCACACACCGTAAACTGATACCAACATTAATCAAGATTAATACTTTAGTAGTTTATGGAGTGATGTTCAATACAATCTAAAGGAGAATGAATAGACTTTGTCTAGAATATAATAAAAACAATGGAGGCTAGTTCGGACAAGCCCCTAACTCCACGTGTACAACCTTAAAACCTTCCAAATTCCAAAAAAGAAGACAAGCTCCAATCAGGACCAGATTACCAGATTACCAGATTCCAAATTACCTCTCCTGTGTGGGTCCTCTTGTGCTCGATTAGTCGTTGAAGCTTCTTAAATTTCTTGCCACAACTCTTAAAATCACAGATGTTTTCTTGACCCGCCATGTTTGTTTGACAACAATGACTAACCGGTCATTCCCAGACCTCCTCTACCACAGGAACCACAGGTATCAGTTTAAAAGAATTTGTATGCAATCTTATCTTAGAAAAAAGAAGTTAACTATTAATTTTGTTTGAAAATATGCTTTAATTGCAATTTAGATATTTAATTTTGAGTAATTTTGAGAAAAACTTGAAAGGTTATTAATTTAATACTTTCTAAAAGTTTGGGTTTCCTGTGCTTTTTCCGACCTCAAGAAGGAACGCCTGACTGATTGATGACAATAATATTCTCATGTCGTAAATCCGTGCTCAAGTACATTGATATATGCAAATCTCGTGTCTAAAAAAGAATTGTAAAGGAAGCCTGAGGTCAAGTTTTGATAATCATGGAATGTTGCAGTCGTGTGGCTGCTAGTGGTTGCCCTCTATCATCTACATCAGCTCAAAATGCTTGGAACTCTTGGGACCAAGATCCCCATAATGCCTACATCAATGCTTATTATCATTATCAGGCCTACGTGTATTACTGGAATCTCTATAATTCACATTTTGATCAAGGGTATAATAGTTCTTATTGCGAATGTTATGATTATTCAAAACAAGGAGACAGTGCTGGTTACCCAATGGCATTGTCTAGTTCAAGATGTCTGCATTGCCCTGAGGAAGGATATTCTCAGTTTACTGGACGTTTAAAACCTAATGAAACTCAAACACATTCTCATGAAGAAAGCTATGACATGGACGTTGAGGAAGAAAGAGATGGTGTTTATGATTGTGATGATGATGATGACGATGATGATAAGCACAATTTTGAATTGGATGAAAGGTTTTGCCAATTTCTTAGACAATCAGAAAAACACAGACAGGAAAGAGAGAAAGGTAGGTTCCGAGGAAACAAATATAATACCTGAATAAGATCTAAAAGCATCAGATGCTGTATCATAGTTTGGGGCAATCGTAACAGCTAGAGTGAGATAGTGGTGCACACCACCTGTAGTGCTTCCCAATGTTAACCCTTTGAAAGAAATAAACTAATAGCTTTATTTGTTGCTTACAGAAAAAAGAACCAATGCTAAACTGGATGAATATATTGAAGGTAAGAATATAGTTTTTAAAAGTTGCTCAATGACACTGCTCTAAATTTGAAAAGATTAGCAATTGCCGGAGATTGACATTTTACTTTCATCATAAACCTGAATTTCAATTCTGCAATGTGGTTATATGTTATTCTCAGATTTTAATATAGAATCTAGCTAGAATTTCTAACCTTGAATGAACAGTCATTTTCGTATTCCTTTTGGTGGCTTCAGGGGTTATTTCATGGTATCAAACAAAAAGGTTTGAAGGGGAGAGGGGATGCATTCAGTAATATTACTTTTTTAAGTATCGTTTATTTTGGTTTCGTAGCTGGTAAATCATACATAAATCCAAGTACGTTGCCTCCACAAGAGCAGCAAGGAGTCAAAAGAAGAGAGGCAATGAAGTCCCTATATGGAAGCAAAGCACAATACATTATGTCGTTAGAGGCATCCTTGCAACTACACTATGACAGGAATTATGATACTAGGCAGCCAAAGTTTTGGCCCAATATTCCTTTAAAGTTCTAGAAATGATATGTATTGCTCTTTCCTTGTATATGTATAAAATGTAAGAATTATAATTTTAATAAAAAGCCTCATTCGTTGATCAATGTTCTCCAGTTTTTATAACATTTTTAACATTTTTTTAAAAAAAGATGATTTTTGCTTGGTGATAATGTTTTTCCTAACAYATTTTGGGAATAATATTTAAATTTCATGTGCCTTCTCAAGCATAATTTACTCATACTTTACTTAGGGTTTTGGCCCCCTGCAGAGCATACAGGCTGTAGGCAATCAATCATCTTCTCCTCATCTCTCCTCCATCTGTTTCTAGGCTGCCCTTACTTCCTCCTCCCTTTAGGATTCCAGGCCAAAGCCTGGAATGTAATGTTGTTCGTAGGCTTTTGTAACATGTGACCAAACCAACTCCATTTCCTTCTCCTCATCTGCAAAGCCACTGGTTATTCTCCTTCTTGCATCCAAAGCCGGGATCCAAAGCTCCTCATTGAAAATTTTATCTTGCCAACATATCCAAAAGATTCTTTTAAGGCAGCTGTTGATAAACGTCTGTATTTTCTTTTGCATCCTCTTAGTCATCCTCCATATATCTGCGCCATACAGCAAATAATTTACTCTTAAATAGAGAAATAAGAATCAAGAAATAACACTTGGTCTGGAATGAAAAATTATGCATACATGTATAGTTTAAATATATAGAAGGTGCTTCTTTACCTTCACCACCCCCTCAGAATTCCAATTATTCCAAATTCAAAAACTTTATCAAACGTGTGCTAGCCCTTTGTATTACTTCTTGACACTGAATTCAAAGTTGAAAGAATGCCTTTTGGTAATGAGAACCTGCAGTACAAAATACTATTTGCTGTCAATAAACTACTCATGGGGGTCCTGTGGTTTTTGTATTTCGAAATTCAAGATGGCGGAAGGAGTGAGTAACATTTTACCAAAAGCAGTCGGGTTTGTTTTTGACAACTGGACAGTATTACAGCTCGCTATACAGCATGGGTTTGGTGGTATAGATAGCCGTGAAAAAGCAGAATGGCTCAAGGATGTTACAGTACAAGTATTAAACGACAATCGTGAGTATATTTTGTGAAACAAGTTCACCCACGTGTTATAGTTTTTTGTACGTGCGCAAAAATGATCTAATCAGCTTCTTAATAATTGTGTTTTAGATAAAGTTGAATATGATGAATTAGAAGACTATATAAGTGAAGTACTTTATAATGAATTTAATACTATCGTAGAAGACGGGAGTTTAGTAAAGGTTGGTATAACATGACGACTACAAAATACTAGTAAGCTTTTAAAACTTGTTCTAAAAGACAGTTTCTTTCATGTCTGTTTTTCAGATTTCTCAAAAATTATGTCAGTTCCAAAAATTATGGAGAGAAGGTGACACAGAGGCTATAATGAAGGAAGTCCAAGCTGTAGAACCAGTGAAGTTGACTGAAAAGAAAAAAGATAATGAAGAAGACAATAATAGTGAAGAGATGGATGAGGTAATTTGTTTTTCACTGCCATTTGGTTGTTGTTTTTATTATTTAAAGAAGATAGTGATAACAATAATATCCGTGGAATTTAACATTGATGTATAAGTGACATAACAACAATAATGCAAATGAAGTTAATTAAAATTGACATGAACACAAAAGGAATGTGATGAGAGAGAGAGAGAGAGAGAGTGAAAGAGAGAACAAAAGTTGACTCGTAAGATCTTCAATGGTGGAAATAAATGAAAGTTTTGAACCATCATCTGTGGAAAACTACAGCCATTGGGCATTCGTATCAATAGTAGCAATTCATCCACTGAAATCATATTGAAATCTAGAAGTAGATTTTTTATATACATAAGAAGAAAAACTGTAGAACCTGGAGAAAAACCCTAAAAGCATAGAAGAGAACCAGCAAGTCACTAGGTTCACATACAGTAGGACCCAGAGTTCAGGAATCAAACCTGGTTCTCATTGATACAGTATGAGGTGAGCTCTCTTACTACTAGAGTGCAAACAATATAACCGTGAAACTTTAGTAATACTAAAAAGCACAATTTCATGCAAGTTCCATTGTTTTCTATTGTTTAATTAGCACTATTTTGTACTATTTAGTAATTAGTGTTTCACAGATTGTTTGCACTCTATGCTACCTGTGTTACCCATACAAAGAAAAGTAGCAGTGAAATTATTTTGATTTATTTATTTTATTTTTTTAGTGTGAAGAATCTACATCAGGAGAGCAGCAAATGAATGGTTTATGTACTTGTCAGAGTTCAAGTAGTTCAACTTGTCATCATTGTAATTCAGTCCAAGAAGACCTGAGAAACCTTAGTATCACAACAAGTAAGACAAAGCGTGTCGTTATCTGTCATTTTAAATGGACATAGCCTTGCTCCAAATCGACCTCTCTGGGGTCCAGTGRAAAAAAAGCAAACATGGAGGGCACAAGAGGTTGACTTTTTTCTCTCTCAAAATTTTCATTGCATTTCTTGCCAAAATGGCAGGTATTTTTGTAGCACACTAAATTTTCATATGTTGATAAAGAGCATGGAGCATTCAGAGACCCATTTTTAGGTTGCTAAAATTGGTGGAAAACAAGTTAGAAAAGTCCTTCATCCTGCGAGTGTGATCTTGTTTGGGTTGCCTGTGTTTTTATTCAGTGGGCATTAAGTATTAGGAAGATGAAGGACTTTGTGAAAGCCAGAAAGCCAGAAACATTCCTTTTTTCTCAAGTAAATTAATGTTCTGTAATATCTGACTTATATTTTCAACAAAATGGACACTTTTTAGATTYAGAGGAAACATCCACAAAAGCTGAAGAAAGCCTTAAAGATGAGGAAGGATGGGAAGTTGTTCGGAGATCTAAAAAGCGTTGATCAATAACAACAGTGGAGACATCTTAATATTGTACTTTATTAGGTAACTTATTGTATAGGTGGTTAATGTATGACATAAAAGGAGATATAAAAAAGCTTTTTATGTTTTATTAACACCCTGATGCAACCAGTGGGCTGATCAAAGTATGGCTAATTAAAGAGAATGAAAGATTTGATCAGCCTAGAGGTTGTTTTATGGTATTGACAATGTTTGAAGGATTTTTTTTAAGTAGGCAAACAAACATACAAAACAAACAAGCAAGTGGGGAATACACAAAGTACTGTGAGTGGAAGGATATAATATCAATGGGGACAAAGTAAAGATATTCTCAAGGTCACAAACACTAACATTTTTATTAGGGTGATAACTGTGATAAGGCCCAACAAATCTAAGGAATTTATTCACATTTTATTAGTAAACTTTCTGTGATCATTATGTTGATTACATTGCTAGCAGAGGTGTCTTTCATCTTTCTGTATTTGCCTAGTCCATTGATTTAATCATGTTTTTTTCCCTGTGAGGGCAGGGACACAACAACAGCATAGCCAGTTACCGTGAGCCCTGTAGTATTAGCAGGGGCACAAGGATCTTCGGTGGGTCTTTTACTTTCACCTTAGGGTCATGAGTGAAGAAAGACGGGGCCTACAGTTTCAAGTCCTTGAGACTTATAGGTCTAACCATTTTCAGTTGTATTTACAAAGGTAGCACCTTCTCCTCAGTTATTTTAAGACCCTGAGTGTTGGTCTGGTTGAGGCTTGAACCACAACCTCCACACAACAGACCAACGCTCTTACCAACTAAGCTAACCGGGAGGTGGTTTTTCACTTAACTGGTTTTTGTTATTGTTGTTCTCTATTATCATAAAAGGAACCTCTATCCAGACTAGGCAGTCATTCATTTAAGCATACACATTGAGTTGTCATCCAAAAAAGCTGGATACTAAGGCATGGGCATAAAAGAACTTTCTTTTGCAAAGTTTGAGCCCACCACATGCACGCCACAAGTGAGCCAACGGCATTTGCATTTCATGGTGCGAGGTATTTGATGATCGCAGTGCATGCACAAACAGAAAACTGCCAAGTTTAGGCAGAAGTTCCTCCTCATAATCAGTTAGAACAAAAACTAAAAACAAAATTTAAAAAAAACAGTTAAGTGATAAAGACTCAGCAAAAATATAGAGAAGAAAAGGAACCTCTGTAACATGGTATACATTGAGTAATTTTTTACAATAAAAATATTAAAATAAACCGCAATATAATAAACCACTACATAAACTATTAATAAAATAGAAAATATTTGCATTTCATTTTTTCATTGTTTATCTTCACTACAACATATACATATTAATATAAAACAATTTAAGGTGCTGACACACGGTGCAACATTGCATACAACATTTCACACAACAGGACTGTTGCAGAGGCTGACACAAGCGATGTTGCGTGATTTTGTTGCAATGTGTGTCACCCAGATTCAAATTTGTTGCTTGCAAGGTTGCGTGCAAGGTTGCACCGTGTGCCAGCACCTTTACATGACAGTGATTGTGATACGCCACATTTCTATTATGGGTCATCAGGAATGGAGATTGAAGAAAGCTCAGGTAAATGAGCAAAATACTCCGGTTTAAACTACCATTTATAGCTTAGTAATTTGTTCACCTTCAGTTAGTCTATGACTGTCTCCTATYATTTCAAAACTCAATGAAACCCCTTGGTCATTTTTGAATTTTTGCATCCATGTTAAGATTCAATATCTATATCTTTTAGTTCTTTCCTCCTCATTTTTGCGGTTGTTTCTTTTGGATATTATGCATACATATAACTATATGATATTGTGTCATATTTCCATCACAGACTTCATATAAATTTGGAGCTGAGCAAATCGTTAAATTATTGTGTTCCATTCCTGCACTTTATCTTACTTGTTAGTGAGATTTCATTTTCAGTGTTCCAATCATTGTTATTGGTGTTGGTGGCAGTGCTGTATGGTTGTGTTTTTAATAACCCAGGACGTCATGTCCAACATTTCCAAAAAAAATTGGAAATGTAATGACCAGGTGGCATTACTGCTCTTGTAATGAAAATTAGTTCTAACCTATATATTTTCTCTTGAATGTTMTGTTATGTTATATAGGATGAAATTCTCGGTAACCCATTGCTGCAAGGCCATACTTGTCAATCATTTTATCTTTGAGTGCCTTTTCCTCCAGAATATCTTTCTGCATCAACTTAGACATCAAACAAGCGAAAGCAAAAGTTAGGAAACAGCAAACTATGACCAATAATACTAAGAGTCCTTCTTCAAGTTGTTCTAGTGACATTACGTGTCTTGTGTGGCTTCTTTTGAAGACTGAATCCTAAAATTAACTACACAAGAAAAACCAAATTCAAATACAAATTCATTAACTTTTTTCTGATACCAAAAAAAAAGACAAAGAAAAAAAATAATGTGTTTTACGAAATCAACCTGAGCAAATTTTCGAACGAGTCGATTTTTATGCTTCAGTGAAGCCTATTTTTAAGATATTCGAAAGACCCAGTTTCTTAATAAACAATTTTAGAGGAGTCGAAATGTTCCGGAGATTTAGAAAGACATCGGGAATGAAACCCAACCGAGAAAATTACTACGTTTTTAGTCACTTAATTCCAAACTAAATAAATGACGCTCCAAAGTACAAAACCTTTAAAAGATTTAAATTAAATAAACAATCTTATTGAACAATGGAGTCGACCTTTCGTGCCAAAGCTGAAGGCATTTTTATTTGCTCAAATGTCATATATGTGTAAAAAAGAGCATTTTAAACCGTTCATAAGAAAATTTTCAAGCCAAAAATCTTGTACCAAATGCTACAAAAGTTGTCGATTATTCGACCATTCGAAGGCAATAGACACGCACGCTCTTCATCGACTTATCTTCTTATGAAGACCTTTAAAACGCTCTAAATACTAACGAATTAAAACAACATTTTGTTTATCAATTAACCTTCTTGTCATCAGTAAGAATCCCCCAAACTGCGATCCACAAATGATTCCAGACGTATGCAGAAGACTTATAATATCGTGGCTCGGAAGCTTTTCTATGTGTTCCTTGTGGTTCCATGCGCATCAAGACGCTATTTAAATATGCTAAGATTTTCTTACGCGTTCAGGCGTAAAAAAGGTAAACGAACGAACAATTAAACGAAATGCGGTCAAGATAACCTTTCAATAAAAGAACTCACAGCCTCGAATAAATGAATATTTGAAGTCATCTTTACTAGACTGATGATTTTCTCGAACAAGTCACCCCATAGGCATTTACTGGGTTGCCTGTATAATGTACAAAGGCCAAGTACAGAAAATGCAGAAATAGCGCAGCGCAGTCGTGACGTCATAAAAACGAAGACAAAGGCGAAATTCGGACAAACAAACTTACAAGTTTACTTTCAGCAGATAATATTCACAGCCGATCGAAGTTGATTTTAGTTTACATGGGGTATTATTGTAACTTTAAGTAAAAATAATAAAATCGGTTCGTATAATCCTCGTAGCGGTTAAACAGAATGCAATGTTTGTCCGAATCTTTAAGCTATTTTTAGAATCAGTGCGCTGCGCTATTGCGCAATAGTATCCAGAAGTCTTCACGGCACCACCCCTTAGTTCTTTGTGGCCATATGATACAGAGACCCAAGTGAAGTAAATGTTCTTGTCAGCGAACCTTGCCAGGAAAGATAGGAAAGCATATATAAATGTTTGAATCAACGCAAAACAAAAGAAAAATAAATATATAAATAGACAAGCTTCCAGGCGCGAATTCAATGCCCTAGAGTTTTTAAGTTTTGATAGTTCATTCTCTAAAAGAAATTCTAGTCCATTTAAAAAATCATTTACTAGAGAAACGTCTAGCCATTTTCGTTGGATTGATAGGTTTGTTTACTTCATAGAAAAAAATGTACGATCAAAAGCTTGTTTGAGTAGGTATAATTTTTAGGTCACCCATCTAAATGCTAACCCCCCCTCTCTCGGACTTGACTCGTTATCTGTGATGGGCAAGTTATTTCCACTGAGCCACGGTTCCACAGAATCAACACAACAATAAGCTGTGAAAACAATGCACCAGATAGACTTGACCTTTACAGTAACATTTTAGTTTCAACCGATTCCGTGCGTGGCAGAGATGCAAGGGATTAGCCGATATGGTCTTGGGGTAGATTCTTCTCTCCCCTGATGCTTCGGCTAGAACATTTTCTTGCGTAATTCGTACACCCAAGGGCAGAAGGATTTAATTGCCGTCAGGTCCGAAGTCCATACGCCGCCTCAGCTCTGCGGATGTCTTGGGGGTATGGCAGAGTGGAATCGAATTTGTTGAATTTCTTTTGATGGGTTGGAATCCCATCTTATCCACATAAGATTTTTTAAAATCCATTTTTCATCAGATTTGAATCTTCAACAATAAGGCTATCTTTGTAATGAAAAAAGTATCAGCTATTGAACCAGTATTCTTCCATTAGGTTTCTTTTGAACTATCTTATTTTTTATTTTGGTCTGCGTTGACCTAAACATATAAAATTTGGATTCAGAAAAAGAAAAGTTCGATGCTTATAAAATATTTCCTTTCGTTCTCTATCTAGATAAAAAGGACCTTATTAATGGACGAAGGAATTCAGTTGGTTTAGGAAATGATTAGTAGCTTCAAAAAATATATATCAATTAACATATCCTTGAGTTGGTAAAAGCTAAAGAGGTAGGTTTAAAGGTGCAAAGTTACAATACATACTTTCATAAAGTAAACAACAAACCCTTTTCAAAAAAGCCATAAATTTTCATTTATCTTAAAAATAACTACGTCAAACTGATTTTTCTAGTAATGTTATAGACTTTTCACTATAATTTCAAGTCAAAATACTAAAGTAAAATTTTGGCTCGTTCCGACACTCCACTTAGGAAAAGTCCGATCCAAGGAGAGAATCCAGATTTTGAATTTCCACAATTTTGGATTTTGAGGCAAAAAATAACAAATTCTAAAAGAGCAAGTGAAATAGGTGTCAATGGTGTAATTTGTTTTGTTTTGGTCGTAAAGGAAAT